TAGCTAGTTTAATTGTAGATTTTAGATATTAAATTTATCACCTCTAACTAGTTTTACTGTAGTATATGTGTATTTAATTTAGCTTTTTTTTTTTTTTTTTTTTTTATACGTGTTTATTTTATATGTTAATTTTCACATCCAATTTGTGTTAAACAATATCTGTAATTATTTTGTAATTGCATTATTTACTAAAGGATTTGATTGCACTTAATGGTTCAAATAAACTGGATTTATTTTTATATGAAACATTTTCAAAGATGTAATGGACGTTCTAATTGGCTTGTTTAATTTCAGGGAGGAGCTCTTGAAGGTGGTTGGGAGAGAACTTTAAACGAAATTGTAACTTCAATCAGCCTTAGAAATAAATTACAATGACTTAAAGCATTACTATTTTAAATTTCTAGAAAACTTGGTGCACACAAAAAGCGGCAGCTTTCACTTGTAGATCATCGGCGATTTTCGTAAAATCTGATTGGCTGATGGGAGTAAAAAAAATTTCTACGTAGAAATATTTAAATATCGATATAAATGTACATAAGAAAAGTATACTGAACACATATGTACTAGGATGATAAACGGACTAATTATCAAATGTATGATAAAAACTATAGCATCGATATATTGTAGATTTTTCATGTTACACCACAAAGATCGATTATTATAATAGGAACAAGTGTAAGTAGGTGCCCTGCAACTTTAAATTCAGATAGGATCTTTGCCTTGAAAATGACCTTACGGTATCATGTACCGTAAGGCCATTTTCAAGGCAAAGAACCCAGATAAGGATAAAACTTAAAGTCGAAAGTTGCAAAAAATCATATTAAACTCTTGTGATCCTGATGAAAATTTGACCTACTACTTAAATCTAGCAGAAATTAAATTATACCTATAGGTATAATATTGTAAAATTACCAATTATGAAAGTTTTGTACAATTACATCTTTTGGTGAAGTTAATGCAAGTCGAGTTTCTTGTATAAAGTGATCCATTTCTATATATCCACTGGTTCAATTACCAAAGCTTTCATGAAAATGTGCTACTCCAAATGGTTGACGTTAATGATTTTGAGATCTTGGTTTTTATTATCCGGAGCATAGCGACGGACATTATGTTTACGTAAGGTGATACAAAAGTTACGTTTTTGATTAATTGGTATTAAAATATCAAACCGTAATTTTTGAATTTAGTGTCTGTCCCATGCGTTAAAAAGTTCTGCCTTTGTTTCATCGTAATATTTTGATTTGCATCTCATCAAAAAACATATTTAAAATTGTTATCATAGAATCGGTATTGTACGCATGTACGTACGTACTGTACGTAGGTAAGGTTATACAAAATTTCATTTTTGATGCATCAAATAATTACAGTCTGACCTCGTTATAATTATCAGGTTGGGAAACAACATTTTTGGTGATTATAAAAGGTGTGACTGAATAAGGGTCTAACTTAATATGGTTTATAATAGCTAGACCAAAAAAAAGTGTGATTATAACAAGGCTGTTACTACATTGAGAGTGACTATAACGAGGTCAGACTGCGTTATATCTAGATAAGTTACATGCTCTGGACTCACATTAACCTAATAGTTTATACAGAAAAGATAAAGAATGACTCTGGTTATTCAATTTTGTATTAAAAAGGAAATGTAATATTTTAATGATAGCTCGCATAATTTAGAATTCAAAATTATATAAAAGTTAGACACAGTCAAACCTCTCTATAATCACACACTGGTCTAGGCAAATTAATATTAGAACTACTATTTTATATTATTTGTTTTATTATAATTTATTAAATATTATTAATAATGTTTTGTCTTTTCTTTCTATTATAAGTTCTTTTTGTATTTTATTAAATAGTTAAGAGTTAATATTTCTTCAATATAAACTTTTTTTTTTAGCAAAATATAAATATATTTTTGAAAAAAAAAACTTCTTGTACAAAATTCAAAACTTTGGTATATTAATCTTTTTTTAAATTTCTTATAATAGTATATGACAAGAAATTTTAATTACTATTAAAAAAAATTTTAAGTTTTTTTTTATAAAGATGCTAAATATCTTGTTTTTAAAAATTTTTTGACAATTTTATTTCTCTTATTTTGTAATATTTATACTATATTTTTTATATATAGAGATTTTAATACTTATTTTGAATTTTGTTTTCATGTCTAGATAGTATTTTTTAGATTTAATTTAAAAACTATATAAAAGCTTTACTAATGTTTTTTAAATATATTCTATTAGAAATTAATTAATTATCTGATTTTTGAAGCAATTAAGACCTGACTTTTCATGTTTTTGATTTGATTATAGAAATATTTTATAGCTTTTTGTATAAGAGTATGCAAAAATATTCAAAAATATAGCAAATTATCAACAATAGCTATTATCATTATCAATTGCATCTTAATAACAATAGATTTGAGAAAATTTATATATATATTTATACAGACAATACATAAATATTTTGTATAAGATATTACTCATTTAATAAAAAGATATACTTGTTTTTATTACAATAATTTTTAGAAATTTATATATATATGTTTGACTTTTACTAAAACGCACCTATGGTGAAAATCACAATAGGTGAAATTCACCTATGGTGACAATTCACCATAAGTAAAATTTATCTATGGTGAAAATTCACCATAGGTGGATTTCACCTATAGTGTAATAATCACCTATTGTAAAAATATATTACTTATGCAGTAAAATTTCACATAACATATTAATGTACATGTTATTTGAAGCACTAGAGTTGTTAAAAGTCTGATCTTTTTGGTCCAGATTTCGTAAGACTCAGTCCTTGCATCAAGTCTGTAAATGTAATAATCAAATAAATTTTGATATAAATTAGCCAAATATATGAATGTCGTTGCCCTAATGATACGATGTGATGACTACTGTATAGTATATCTGATATTGACAGTTATGCACGTATATATGTACGTACATACCACTGTTATCAAAATATCAACAATAGAAAATTTATTTCACAGCCAAATTCATGATAGTATTCAGGCACTGTATGTTGTGCTAATCGATACTTACTATGCAATTTACATCAAGCAAGTTACTATTACATGGGTATTATTTATTTTCTATACTTTACAATGTATGTAGATACAGGATTTTACCTATAAACCTAACATAAAAAAGAACTATGTTAATATTCACCCTAACCCTAACTCTTAAAAAAAAAGCGAATAAAAAGAGAACACACATACATACCTTAATATATGCACTTATGTTAAACTAAAACATTGAATAAACCCAATTACAAGATTAAGATTCTAATACAATATTTTTATTTAATTTTTTAATTTTTTTTTTTTTACAAGAAAATATAAATAAGCAAACACACGATTTTCACAGGGCCATACACTTCGTCATCATTTACATTCTTTACACTCATAAATATGGACAATAAAACATGCAATCATTGAAGCTCTGTAGGTGTCAGATAGGACTATTAAAGCATGATAGTGCACTATGTTTTAATAATCCTTTCTAACACTTGCAGAGCTCTAGTAGCAACAAATAAAAGTATTATAAAACACATTATAAATTGCAAATAACAAACAAACACTAGTACACACAAATGCTAACACACGCCAATGCTACATGTAATATGCACAAAATGTGTGCTTCGTAGGGTTGTTAAAAAGCTTGTTGGATCCAGTCCTTGAGTCAACTTCACATGGACTTTTTAGAACTAACTCAAACCAAAATTCCATTTTTGTTCCAATTTGTGATCCACTAAATGCATGTCGTTCGTTCGAATTGTGATCAGGAGAATGGGTTAAGAACTTATTTAAAAACTACCGGAATTACTCATAATTTTACTAATGAAATCGCACCCGCCTATTAAGTGAAAATTGTTCCTGGGCCAATTTTACCATAATGCGTGCATATTTTTTAAAAATTTCTATTTTTATAATGAAAAAATTAAAAAGTCAAATCCGGCCGGAATTTAGTAAACAATTTTG